GGTGGGAGCGGGAGGGCACGATCGGCCATGGAGCATGGGGAGGGTGACTCGCCGCCTGCGGCCGAGAAGAAAGGGGCGGTGGAGGAGGATGATTTCGGCTATCGGCTCTTCCCAGATCGGAACAAGAAGCCGCAGAGCTTCCTGGTCCGCAGCCTTTTCACCTTCCACAACAAGTGTCAGTTGATGCTGAGGATGACCCTGGAAACGAGTAAGCGCTTCCCCGTGCCCCGGCGGGCCCGGCCTTGGCGCAGCGGGGGCCCTGGCGTGGGACTCGTGCCGCCCGTGTCCGCCGGCTGTGACCTTGTGCGCGGGGTCTCGGAGCTGCGCCCCTCCTCCGCTGCCGCTGCCCCGGGGCGGCCGGACGGACCCCAGCAGGTGGCGGAATGGGCCTGCTGCTTTATGAACGCGCTGGTTTTGCCTAACACAAGTTATTTCGAAAGTGGCCAAGAGGGCGTTTCCTTTCCCTAGCAGAAGGTCCTTCTCTAGCTTTTTTTTCCCTGAGAAATTGAGATGATTTGTCAATTTCTGTGCATTTGTGCCCTTTTCACTGTGTGATGTTGACTATGAGTGTTTGCAGCAAACGATGGTCACTGTAAGTCGCTCTGTTTATACTAGTGGTAGAATAACTATCAGTCAGGAGTGACTTGATTCCTGAACAGCTTTGACTCTGTATGCTGGGCTGCATCAAAAGCAGCGGGGCCAGCAGGTCGAGGGAGGTGTGATTCTCCCCCTCTCTTCTGCTCTCATGAGACCCTACCTGGATTACAGTGTCCAGCTCTGGGACCCCCACTATAAGAAGGACATGGAACTGGTGGAGGGAGTCCAGAGAAGGGCCACCAAGTTGATAGCATGACTGGAGCACCTCTCCTGCAAAGAAAGGCTGAGAGACTTGGGGCTGTTCAGCCTGGAGAAGAGAATGTTGTGTGGAGACCTCATAGCAACCTTCTAGTATCTGAAGGGAGCCTACAAGGAAGCTGGATAGGGACTCTTCATAACAAACTGTAGTGATAGGACAAGAAGTAATGGGGAAAAGAGGGGAAATTTAGGTTATATATACGGAAGAAATTCCTTACTCTGGGGGTGGTGAGGCACTGGAACAGTTGCCCAGAGAAGTTGCAGGTGCCTCATGCCTGGGAATGTTCAAGGCCAGGTTGGATGGGGCTCTGACGAACCTGGTCTAGTGGAAGGTATCTTTACCCATGGCTGGGGATTGGGACTAGATTATCTTGAAAGTCCCTTCCAACCCAAACCTCTCTATGATTCTGTATCACTTCACATAGTCAGAACTGTAACAGATGCCTGTTGCATTGTATTGAGGTTAAATACTGCAAAGTATGAATTTGCATGTATAGTGCTTTTCTTGATTTTTTTTTTACTTGACTGTGTTTGTATTTTGATTTTATAGATGACTTTCAGAACTTTTGTTTTGAATGTAGGGATTTAGAGAAATTGATTGCAGCAATGTTTTTCTAGATCCATATGCTCAACTGCTCCTTGAGGCTATGAAGCAATCTGGTTGGTACGTAAACTAATGCATCTTGTTCTGTGTAGTAACATCACTATTGTAAGTAGTGACTGATGTTTTTCAAATTCTTTAACTTTGTTTGTTTGGGCCTTTCAGCACTGTCTTCAATGACCGGCACTTTTCTTGTGAAAACTGCGATGGCTGTGTCAGTGGAGGTTTTGATGCTGCCACATCTCAGGTAGGTGTTGGACATAGCCCCCTTTCAAAGTACTACAATTTTTTTAGTGTTTTGTTAGTAGGATTAAATTTACCAACACTGATATTTGCGTTAGTAATGAAAACCAGATAAATGAAAGATGTTCCATGGCACTGAAGGGAGATCTCATTGCAGTCTACAACTTCCTCGTGAGGGGAAGAGGAGGGGCAGGCACTGATATCTTCTCTGTGGTGACCAGTGACAGAACCTGAGGGAATGTCCTGAGGTTATGTCAGGGGAGGTTTAGACTGGATATTAGAAAAAGGTTCTTCACCCAGAGGTGGTTGGGTGCTGGAATAGGCTCCCCAGAGACAGGGTCACAGCACTAAGCCTGTCAGAGTTCAAGAAGCATTTGGACAATGCTCTCAGGCATTGTGTGACTCTTGGAGATGGAGGGCCAGGAGTTGGACTTGATTATCCTTGTAGGTCCCTTCCAACTCAGCATATTCTGTGTGATTCTATATTGGAACTAATGTACTGCAGAACGATAAGGTTGTTAATGTTGAAAAACAATGATCTAAATACACTAAATGCTGTAGATGATGTGTGCTCTGAGAAGTAAGGGAGGTATTGAAACTTGTTGAAAAGGATTCTTTTATTTCTTCTTCCTCAGATTGTTCTGTGTCAGAACAACATTCGCCAACAATCCCATATGAACCGGGTGGTCACACATGAATTGATTCATGCATTTGATCACTGTCGTGCACACGTAGATTGGTTTAAAAACGTCAAGCACTTGGCATGTTCAGAGGTAAGTTAAAATGCTTCTAATGTCATTTTATTAATTACTGCTGGTTATTAGAAATGCTTCATGTTATATGGTCTGTTACACACACTTCACTTATTTTGATCCTTTTTGTCCTTTCTGTCAGGTCAACCTAAATAGCTTCATTCAGAAAACAAATACTTAGTTTTCACAAATATTAGTAAGTTAATGTCGTATCAGTAGAATGATCACTGTGAGTATAGACATAGTACGAAGTGGTTATTGACAGATGAGAGTAGTTAGAAGGGAAAACATATTCGCACATTATTCAGATGTTTATAGCATTCTTTTTCTCCTGTGCAAATCTTGGTGTGTTGGGTAGTTTTCACAGTAGTACAGTAACTTTATTTTTGTTTAGATTTTTTTGATTAATGACAAACTTGTCTTTTCCTGTCACATTCATTTTTTGAATAATTGTGATATTGCTAATAGTACACTGTAGTTATGACTCCATGTCAACTGGATGGGGCTCTGAGCAACCTGATCTAGTGTGTCCCTGCCCATGGCAGGGGAATTGGAACTAGATGATCTTTAAGGTCCCTTCCAAGCCAAATAATTCTATGATTCTATGATTTCAGAGCACATTTTCTGCTTAAAAGGCTTTAATAATTGATGCTTTAGGAAGTGAAATTAAATGGATCACAGGTTGGGAAGGATTCCTCTTGTGCATATGATCCATGTGTATTTGCATGCTTTTATTTCATTTCTGATATAATCCATATTGTTTGGCCACAGAAAAACTCTTATGATTAATCTTATGAAAGTATATACTCATGACTTTGTGAATTAGGTATTTTTTAACTGTTTTTTTTTAAAAAAATACATAAAAATATTATGGTGGCTTTGTTTCTGGTTTGTTTGGGTTTTTTTAGGCCGTGGGTTTGTTGATTTGTTTGTTTTTAATGAGAACTTATTTGATCTAGACTTTAGATGTGCACAAGTTTCACCTATAAACAGTATGTGAGGTAACCAAAATTATGAGTTGTTACTGAACAAGTCAGATTTCATAAAAATTCATTTTAATTCATTAATTGAATTCATATTTGCTGTAGAAAAGAGCTACTGTCACTTATTATCTTTTTATAGGTAAGACTTAATGAAGTAACCTTATGTGGTATCAATAAAGCCATTCTGCCAGGAACCCACTGAGCCGTTCTCTGACTTCCCCTCCTCAATGGTACAGGGGACAAAAGTAAGATTCAAAAGCTCATGGATCAAGATAAGGACATGGAGGTCATTCACCAGTTGCTGTCATGGCAAAAATACACTTGACTTGGAGAAGGTTAATTTAATTTATTGCCAATTAATGACAGAATAGGATAGTGAAAAATAGAACTAAAAATACCTTCCCCCTCCTCTCAACTTCTTCCCAGGCTCAACTTCACTCCTTCATTCCTGGCTCTTCTATCTCCTAACCTGCCAAGCAGCATGGGGAGACAGGGAATGCAAGCTGTGGTCAATTCATAACACTTTGTCTCTGCTGCTCCTTCACCCTCACTCTGTTCCCCTGATTCAATGTGAGGTCCCTCCCACAGATTACAGTCCTTTGTGAACTGCTCTGAGTCTTTCCCCTGGGCTGCTATTCTTCAAGACCTGCTCTAACTTGAGTCCTTTCCACAGCATACAGTCTTTTGGGGATGGACTGCTCTAGCATTGCTCCCCCATGGCCCACAGTGCCTGACAGAAAATCTACTCCCACATGGGCTGCAGCTTTTTTCAGGGCATGTCTGTCTGCTCTGTCATGGTGTCTTCCTTGGACTGCAGTGTGGATTTCTACTCTACTGTGTTCTTTCACAGACTACAGGCGCTCCTCTGATGCCTGGAGCACCTCTTCCCCCTCCTTCTTCACTGGTCTTGGTGTCTGTGGGGTTGTTTCCCTCACATTTTTCTTACTCCTCTGTCTCTGTCTACAGCTGCCCTGTAACGCTTGTTATCCTTTCTTAAACATGTCATCACAGAGATACAACCAGCCACTAATGGTCTCAACTTTGACTAGTGGTGGGTCTGTTTTAGAACCAGTTAAAGCTGGTTCTTTCTGACATGGGGGCAGCCGCTTGTCCTGTCTCACAGAAGCCACCCTGGCAGGCATCTCACTGCCAACATCCTGCCATGTAAACTCAATACAGTAATTCAGAATTATTAACTATTGTCTATTTTTTGTCTAAGCATTTATACAGTGCAGAATAAAGCATGTAAGCCTCAAACACAAGTTTAGAGAATATATGTATAAAACAAGATTGTGCATGTTCTTGCTCTCATTGAGATTATGGGTTTACCTAAAGTCTTCTGGTACTTACTTTATTACATGGTGTTTACATTTTTTGTTGATAGCTTTTTAATTCTTACCTTTCATATTTTCCATTCATTTATTCTCACTCTGGTACTTAATTGTAGGAAATCACAGTTTATTTACATTTCCTGACAGACCAGGTAGGGCACAGTTGGAACAGTTGGCAGACAAAAGAAATTACAGTGTACAGAACAAAACAGTTAACAAGTTAAACCATACATACTCATTTAAATGTGGCTTTTTGCAAAACAGATGGGTTACTGCTCTTCTGGGTATTGCAGCTGTAATCTTTGAAAGGTATCTGCCTTTCTTTCTGACTCTTGTAACAGCTTCTGATATAGATTGGGGAGAATATTACTTTCCATGTTCTTCTAGCAGTTTATATACACATATAACACATACATATGATCTCTACTGTAGGAATATGTGAGATGTAGTTCCTGGAAAAACTTAAAGGTTGCTGTAGTAATATTTTGCAGTTCACTGAGGCTGAGAGGGTGGATATAAAGGGTAACAGGTACTTAAGAAACTAAAGTGGCCTTGGGAATAATCTCTACCAGCAGTCACCAGAAAAATACTGAAGAAAAAAATTTGTTACAACTTTTTTGACATTGTGTTTTCATGTGTTTCTCTGATCTTGTGGCTTTGTATTTTTCTCAATAGATTCGAGCTGCTAATCTCAGTGGAGACTGTACATTGATGAATGAAATAGCCAGGTTTAAATTTGGATTGAAAGGGCATCATCAGGTAAAGACTGCAAATGTTAAAGTCTAATCATTTTTTATGAGCCATCGTTACCTACTTGATCTCAGCCTTCTGCACTTTCATACCCAAAAACATCAGAAAAAGAAGTAGATGCCATGGGCTTGCTGTTTTCTCTTAACTAACCTTTAATGACTGATGTTAATTTTTTTCCCAGCGTGTTATTTTTATTGGAGTGAAATTCCTGAATACTTAGTAATATCATAAAGCAATACCATTGACAATGGATGCCTAATAAGAACCAGACAAAAAACAGGGTTTGCAGGAAATGTAGTGGGAACATTCTTTTTAAAAGTCTTTGAAAACTGGAGGAAGCAGAATGACCAGATTTCTGAATAACCATGTGTATTAAGTCTTACAAGAATTAATTTTTGTAAATAGTAATGAAGCCTACAGATTGAGTCACAATTAATTGCTCATGTTAGAGTGGCAGTAGCTTGTAGCTGATATTTACATCTTTTTTATGTTTTTGTAGACAAACTGTAAGAATAAGTTACCATAAAGAGAGGTATCAAATACCAATAGAGAAGTCATTCCTTTATGTTTTATAGCATTTCAGTGTGAAACTAACTAACTGGTATTTATGTCTGTTTTTTCTGACATATTTTTCTTATGTGCAGGATAAGTTTTACAAATACTTGATACCTACAAAAATGCCAAATTGTGTTTTAATTTCTGTTCTAAGGAATGTCTTTTAATTATCACATGGTTTTTGTGTACATGGAAAACTAAACCACATAATTAACAGAGGATAAAACTAAGATATACTATAATGCTTACTACAGGCACTGTTTGACTCTTCTGTGATACAAAATTATTGCCTATGTAGTAGGAGTTACTACTTGACAAAATCTGGAAAAAATTTATACTAATAACGTCAGATTTTTCTTTATCTTTTTCCCCCTTTAGACTTGTGTACGAGACAGAGCAATTCGTTCCATTCTGGCTGTTAGAAAAGTTAGCAAAGAAACAGCTGAAAAAGCTGTGGATGAAGTTTTTGATGCCTGCTTCAATGATCTAGAACCTTTTGGAAGAATCCCACACAGCAAAGCAGATGCAAGGCGTGCTTATAGAGACTTTCAGAACAGAGATCGCTATAATGCTAATTTGTAAGGGGGGAGAGGAAAACACGTGAGAAATTGTTAATTCTCTGTTCTGTAACATCTGGAGTTACAGTCTGTGCACACAGTGCTGGTGGAAAGGGCAATTCTATCAAATATATCAATTAATTTTGTAAACTTTTTTCAGGAGCCAGCTTCCGTGGAAGTAAACAGGGTAAATGAACAAGACTAAAAATCGTGTTTCCTCACCTGTTATTCCAGGAAGATAATTTAGTATATGCCAAATGACTTGTCAGAAATAATGATCTGCGCATTTCAATGCACATTTAATTCTTTTCAATCTGACTGACTAGGAGTTGGTTTCTAAAAGTTTTGTTGTTACTAAATAAATCTTTTCATTTCCACCATCTTTGATACACAGTCATGAAGTCAGTGATCTTAATCACTCTATTTTAAAAGATGAGCACCCGAACTACAGCTTGAGGGTCTAGATTTAATAACTGTGGCTAAACCTAAAAATAATAAACTGCTGCGTTTGTTTTTGAGCACCTCTTGAAATTCTTGGGAGGTCTAACATTTATTAGTGGTGGGAAAGCTTTTGTGACTTGAGTCCTTTATGCCCTGAATTGCTGCTCCTGTACTGATTTTCTCTGGTGGTGGAGGACTGGGTATGATGATGAGTGTTGCCTTCTCCTGTTCTGTGTCCCAATATATTTTGTGATAAGAGGACTGTCAGTGTATGAAGCTTTGTCAGGCAACACATAACTGTGAGATTTGGCTGCAGTGGGGCAACAGGCTCCCTGGTGAGACTGGAGCAGGAGTGAGGTACTGAACTGCTCAAGTAAGGAAAAGTCAGCACATGCACAGATTTCAAGTGCCTGACAGATGCTACAGCTGAGAGGGGAAGATCCTCCCATGTACCTCCAGAATTTGGCAGCCTCTGACAGGGCTCTTTGACTGTAGCTTTGGGCTTGTGCAATCCACCTATTTATTTCACATGCCTACAATGTTTTGGATCTGACAATCATTCTGTAATTTCCTCCTGAGAAGTATTCACTCATGTCATTAGCCTCTAGCCCCATGTCCTGCTTCTAAGGTATCACTTGGGAACAAGATTCCTGAAGAAGACAATAGAGCCAGCAGTGTGTTTTCCTGACCAGTAGCAAACAATTTGAGAAAATTCACACCTAAGCACTGCCCTCACAAAGGATAAAACAACACATACTAGAAGTGCCTGAGAGGTCTAAGCAACCTGACTTGTCTGAATTGTTCTGTTTGTGTTGGACTATGTGTGTAGGTGTAGCATAATTCATACCTACAGGAACCATTATTTCTGGCACTAGGCATTAATGCAGATCCCTCAGAAAGTTATCCCACTTGTATTGGAGGAAGTTGTCTTGACAAAGATTCCCCAAACCTGTGCTTTCAAGAGTGTTAAAGAATTTCAAACGGAGATTTCATAATCTTATTTTCTTGGGGTAATTCCATCCGTGACTGACATAATCGCATGGCTGAATATCTGAACAGAAAAAAATGGGTATATAATACCCTGGATACCTATAGAGAAAATTACAGATTGAGTCCTAAGCTTCCCATGTTTGATGCAGTCTATATAGACCTAGGGTTTCCAAAATCCCCTGGGGATCAGAGATGCCTTGAAAACAGCATAATCTTATATGTCAATATTCCCTTAACCTTTACTTCTCTTCAAATCACCGTTTTGGTCAGTACAATGTATGACGCTGAGTTTTTTATGCTTCTGACACATACTCTGACAGATAATTCCTTCCCTTCATTATACCTTACTAACAGAAGTTCTGCCTTAATTAATGTGTGTGTGTTTGCATTTATATTTTGACCAATATATAGTTTAAATATATACATTTGTTCGCTATCTAGGATAAGCTTTATAAAGTTTACTTGGAAAATACAGCAATAAAAACTAGAAAATGTAAGCATGCAAGCTACTTTTTTCCTTCAGCATTTTTGATAGATGAACATGATCAAAATCTTGGAAAGAAAGTATTCCAGAGATATCTGTAAGAAATGTTGGTAACAAAGACTACATTGAGCTATATGAAAACATATATATATATATATATATATAAAATATAAAATCAGTATGAAATGTGATGTGATCTTGGGCACAGTGATCACAAAACGTTTGAGTTTGCAATTCTCAGAGAAGGAAGGAGGGGACTCAGCAGAACTGCTACCTTGGACTTCTAGAACTCAGGAAAAAAAGAAGAGTTGATGACCTTTTGAAGGGACAGGCAGCTCAGGAGGAGTACAAGGGTGTTTTGAGGTTATGCAGTGAGAAAATTAGAAGGGCCAAAGCCCGACTAGAACTTAATCTGGCTACTGCTGTAAAAGGCAATAAAAATGTTTCAATAAATGCATTTGTGACAAAAGGAGGGCTAAGGAAAATCTCCATCATTTATTGGATATGGAGGGAAATGGATGATGCAAAGGATGCAGAAAAGGCAGAGGTGCTTAATGCTTTCTTTGCCCCAGTCTTAAGCAGTCAGGCCAGTTGTTCCCCGAGTACCCAGCCCTCTGAGTGAGGAGATGGGTGCGGAGCAGAATGAAACCCCCATAATCCAAGGGGAAATGGTCAGTGACTTGGTACACCATTTAGACACACAAAAGGCTATGCAGCTGGGTGAGATTCACTGAGGGTTACCGAGGGAGCTGGCAGAAGTGCTCACTGAACCACTTCCCATCATTTACCAGCAGTCCTGGTCAAACAGGAAGGTCACAGTTGAGTGGAGGTTAGCAAATGTGATGCCCAGTTACAAGTAGGGTCAGAAAGAGGATGCAGGGAACTATAGGCCTGTCAGTCTGACCATGGTATTGGGGAAGGTCATGGAGCAGATAATCTTGAGTGCCATCATCTGGCACATACAAGACAACCAGGTGATCAGCATGGTTTATGAAGGGTTTATGAAAGGCAGGTCCTTCCTGACCAATCTAATTTCCTGTGACAAGGTGACCTCCTTAGTGAATGAGGGAAAGGCTGTGGATGTTGTTTGCCTAGACTTCAGTAAAACCTTTGACACTGTCTCCCACAGCATTCTCCTGGAGAAACTGTCTGCTCATGGCTTGGAGAGGTGCACTGTTTGCTGGGCTAAGAACTGTCTGGATGGCTGGACCCAGAGCGTGGTGGTGAATGGTGCTACATCCAGCTGGTGGCGGATGGTGTTCCCCTTGACTGGGACCAGTCCTGGATCTGGGCAAGGAGATTGAGTCAATGGTCAATGATCTAGACAAGGGGATCAAGTTCACCCTCACCAAATTTACAGGTGACACCAAGGTGGATGGGAGTGTTGGTCTTCTGGAAAGTAGGAAGGCTCTGTGGAGGGATCTGGACAGGCTGGATTGATGGCTTGAAGTCAACAGTATGAGGTTCAATTTGGTGAAGTACCGGGTCCTGCCCTTAAGTCACAAAAACCCCATGCAGTGCTACAGGCTGAGTGTCTGAAAAGCTGCCCACTTGGGGGTATTAGTTGACAGTTGTCTGAACATGAGCCAGCAGTGTGCCCAGGTGGCCAAGAAGGTCAATGGCATCCTGGCCTGTATCAGAAATTGTGTGGCCAGCAGGACTAGGGAAGTGATCATTCACCTGTACTTTGCACTGGTGAGGCCACACGTTGAATCCTGTGTTCAGTTTTGGGCTCCTTACTTCAAGAAGGGCATTGAGGTTCTGGAGTATGTTCAGAGAAGGAGCTGGTGAAGGGTCTGGAGCACAAGTCATATCAGGAACAGCTGAGGAAATTGGCATTGGTTAACCTGAAGAAAAGGAGGCTCAGGGGAAACCCTATCGCTTTCTACAACTATCTGAAAGGAGGTTGCAGCTAAGTGAGGGTTGGCCTCTTCTCCCAGATAATAAGAGACAGGACAAGAGGAAACAACCTGAAGTTGTGCCAGGGGAGTTTTAGATTGGACACTAGGAAAAATTTCTTCATGGAAAGAGTGGTCAAGCATTGGAACAGGCTGCTCAGGACAATGGTTGAATCACCATCTCTGAAAGTATTTAGAAGGCATGTAGGTGTGGCACTTAGGGACATGATTTAGTGGTAGACTTGCATTGTTAGTTTAATGCTTGGACTCAATGATCTTTCCAACCTAAATGATTCTTTGATTCTATGAAATAATTGCTATGAAATAAAATTGCATAACCAGAAAACATCAGCCTAAGCAACAGATACATTTCTGTTACACCAAGTCCAATTGTAATGGCAGAAAATATGCACTAAAGTCACCAGTAAGCAAGCAGGACAGTCTGATGTCTTCCTGTCATTCCTTGAGGAAACAAAGGACAATAATTACATGGAAATTTGCACACACTGTTTATCTATTCAAGCAATCATGTAATTGCTTTAGGTGCAATTTTAATATACATAATTTTTTCTCATCAAAACAGAGGTAAAAAAAATGACTGAAAACTCCGTGCAAATACAAAAAATATGGGAATCGATTAAGCAGCAGAGGGTGCTGAAAGACTGTGCAACAGCCTACTGCTGTGGAAAGCCACTTGCAGATTATACACAGCTATTCTTCAGTGTGCAGTTCAGTCTTGGTTTAAATCTCTGTTTTAATCAAATTTGCATAACTTTCATATTAAAAGAAGTTAAAAATTAAGATGTATTTCCATCACATTTTTTTCTGCTTCTGCAGAATATTTGCTTCCTTTAGAAGACCACCTCAAGACATATATGGAAATACTTTTGGCATTTGTGCTGTTTTGGAGTGTGATTGCATCTGCAGGGAGAGTTAAATAAATGCTGGGGTACGTGTGACAGAGAAAAATGTCAAGCAGTAAAGACCTGTCATCAGTAAATAGAATCATGCAAATTGCATTAGCTCAATTCCTCATGCCTGAATTTTCACAAGATTATAATTTTGTCTCCTATATCTGAAAGATTTTCAAGTTTTGACAAAACCAAAGAGCAGGGAAAAAAGAGAACATCATTGTCCAAATAGTAAAGATATATAATTTTACATAGGAGGGTAATTTAATAGAGTCTTCAGGTGTTTTGTTTCTGCTAGAGAGGAAGCATTAACTGTGACATACCTCACTGAATAGCTCCTTGTCAGAATTGTTTTTAAAGTTTGCAGTACCTAGCTCTCAGGTGCATGGATGTATGTCAGTTACCACAGGAGTCTTCATGTGTAGTTTTTTAAAACTGTTTTAGAGACAGTAGCAATTATAAGTGAAAACAACAAAAATCATCAGTAAGCAAAAAAATGCAACTCTGAAATAATGAAAAGTTCATAAGTTTTCAAGGAATTGGTCAGGGAGTCTTATGTCTTGCTAGGTTTGAAGAATTCAGCACCAAGAGGTTTTTATCCACTGGAGATTCACCCAAATTAACTAACTAGGATTCATCCTTCAGCCTGCCTGTAAGCCTCATTAAAAAGAAAACTCAAAAACAAATATTTACATATTTTTATTCAATAGGACTTGGGTTTTGTTGTTTTTGTTGTTGTTGTAGCTCTTTAAGGGGTCATGAGAAATTAATTCAGAATTTGGGAGAAAGTGAAA